ACCAAGAAGCCCAAGGAGAAGCCACCCAAGGCCACCAAGAAGCCCAAGGAGAAGCCACCCAAGGCCACCAAGAAGCCGCTGGCAGGGAAGAAGCCCCCCACCCTGGCCCCGTCAGAAACCGTGGAGTGGCCACTGCCCCCGCCCCCCAGCCCTGGCCCTGAGGAGCTACCCCAGGAGGGAGGTTTGTGTCAGGCTCTTCCAGGGTTATGGGGCTCTGACCTCCTACTGGGGTGGAGGCAGGGAGGGGTGAAGGTGGGTCCCTGCTTCCTATAGACCCTCAGGTCCCCCCTGGATGGGGTGGGCTCTGGGGCCTCCTTTTTGTCATGAACTTAACAATTTGGTGAGTTCTCTCAGTGCTGCAGCCTCTCCTTGGTAGGGAAAAGACTTGGCAGCCTCTGGGTGGAGATCTCTGTGCCCTGGGCCCCAGCCATATGTCCCCGGGCTCTGAACCTACAGGGTTCCCTCCCGAGTTTCCCTGCTGGGGGTGGCTTTGTGGCAGGGCCTCCCAGGCAACAGGGTGGGTTTCCCAGAAGGCAGCCTAGCTCTCAGGCTCTGAAGGACGCCAGCAGTGTGCCGAGGGCCACAGGAGCCCAGGCCCCCTTGGAGAGAGCTCGGCTTCAGGAGGGTGTCTGGGGGCTCCATGGGTGTCTGGTGGCCTCCGGCTCTCCAGGTGGTCACAGCAGGCCTCCTGCCCACCTGCTTCTGCGGCTCCTGTGTTGCAGGGGGGGCCCTTCCAAATAACTGGCAGGGTCCAGAGGAGGAGACCCGTGCGGAGGCCAGGGAGCAGCAGCCTGGTGAGTGGCCAGCACCTGCCTGGCCTCAGGGTGGCCGAGTGCCGTGGCGTGCTGGACCGAAGGATTTCCCAGAGTGGGCCTGGGTGGGGCTGTCAGGCAGCTACCAGCACTTTCCCCTCAGAGCCGGAGGAGGAGACCGAGCTGCCCACGCTGGACTACAACGACCAGATAGAGAGGGAGGACTACGAGGACTGTGAGTAGGACCCTGCCGCCCCTGCCCGGGTCGGACCCTGGCCCTGGGGGCCCACTGAGGGTCCCGCCCGAGGCCTCGTCCCAGCCTCGGGCCCCACTCAGAGCCCACCTCCCCCTCAGTTGAGTACATCCGGCGCCAGAAGCAGCGCAGGCCGCCCCCGAGCAGGAGGAGGCCCGAGCGGCTCTGGCCGCAGCGCCCGGAGGAGAAGGCCGAGGCCCCGGAGGAGAGGACCGGTAGGAGGGGCAGGAGAGGAGGGGCGCGGGCCCAGGGGCTCCCACCCCCACCCCATCCCTCACCTCCCCACCTCCACAGAGCCGCCTCTTAAGCCCGTGCTGCCCCCGCTGCCCCCTGACTACGGGGATGGCTACGTGATCCCCACGTACGACGACAGTGAGTACTCAGAGCCCCAGAGCCCGAGGGACACGGGCAGGGTGGACCTTGGGGCCAGCGGTGCGCTCCGGAGATGGCCATGGTGGCTGACCCACCTTGCGACCCCACCTGCCGCAGCCACCTCGCCGCCCCTCACCCGGGCCCCCGCCTGCCCGCCCCGGCCGTGCTGCCCCGTCTCCTCTTCCAGGCTCCTGACATTCCTCTGGCCCCTGCTGGGGTGTCCCTAGGCCTCACCCTCAGCCTTGTCACTCCCGTGGGCCCCAGCCCTGCCCCGACCCGTGCTCTGCTCGGCTTGCTGCTCCTGTGTGCTGCCCCCGCCTCACACCCTTCAGGGAGCCAGATGGGCTGTCACTGCCCTCTCACTCATGTCCCCACCAGTCCCTCCAACACTGGGCCCCAGCTCCGCCCATGAGACACCCCCTCTCCACTGCTGGCCACAGGGGCCAGCTGTCTCCTGAGGCCTGCCCCGTGCTTTGGGCACTACTCCCTGCCTGGCCTCGACTCCTCCCTTCCTCAGGCCAAAGCTGCCTGGGGGGCCGGGCTGGTGACTTCAGCAAAGTTTCCCTCTGCTGCCCGCTGAGTGCGGGCTGCCTCCCCAGCCCCGCAGGACCCTCTCTCCCCTCTAGTCCTCCTCCCCCCGGCCCAGTCGGGAGCTGAGGCCCCGCAGCAGGTCAGGTTGCTGCAGCCCGGCTCTCCCCCACCCGCAGTGGACTATTACTTTCGGCCTTTCCCGCCCCAGAAGCCCGACGCTGAGCGCCAGACGGATGAAGAGAAGGACGAGCTGAGTGAGTGGGGCCAAGGGGCTCCCGCACCAGGCCTAGCCCCAGGGCCAGCTCGGGCCTGCCCGCCTGCCCGTGTGCCCCTAGCTCAGCCCGACCCCCCCCAGCGTGCCCTGGAAGCCCAGGCTGACAGGCCCCTCCTACCTTGCACCCTCCAGAGAAACCCAAGAAGGAGGGCAGCCCCAAGGAGGACGAGAGCGACAAGTGGGCTGTGGACAAGGGCAAGGACCACAAAGGTGTGTGGCCCGGTCGGGGTCTGGGTTTCCGTGGGGTGGCATCTGGACTCCTGCTTGCCTCCCTCAGCACCCTCCTCTCCCTTCACTGTCCCCAGGGCCCCGCAAGGGCGAGGAGTCGGAGGAGGAGTGGACTCCTAAGGAGAAAGTCAGTGAGTGGGGGTCCAGGGGGGTGGGGGTGGGGGGCTCACAGGATGGGGGTACGGGGACAAATGACCCACCCAAGGCAACAGATGGGACCTGAACCTGGATTTCCTGACGGGGCTCCAGAACTCTTTCATGCTCTTAGGCTCTCAGGCCCAGAGCCGGGGTCCCTGGGAGCCAAGCACAGCCTTGCTGGGCTGTCCCTGCTCTGGGCCCAAGGCTGGCCCGTTTCAGGAGGGTGGCGGCTCTCTAGGCCCCTGGCAGCAGTCAGGGGAGGACCTGGGCCCTTGGGTCGGGAGCAGGACCTCGGTCGCCTTTGCAGGTGTCCCTGCGGGGCCAGTGTGAAGACGATGTCTGTGACTGGCCAGGCGCCAGGGTGGCTCTGCCTGTGATTTCGTGTGAGCCCCTTGTCCCCCGAGAGCCAGGCATGGTCAGCCCATTCTCGAGATGGGGCAGCTGAGGCCCAGGGAGGGGAAGGCTGGGATCAGAAGCAGCTCCTGGCCTGGGTTTGAGTCACTTTGAGGTGGGCTGGTGCGGGGCACCAGGGAGCCACTGGCCAACCAGAGCTGCCCTGATTGGCGCCCCCTGGTGTTTGGGGCATGGGTCCAGGGCTCCTTGGTTCTGGGCTTGGTGGAGGGAGGGATAAAGCTAGTGAGACACCAGCCTGGGGTTCATGTCCCCAGAGTGCCCCCCCATTGGGATGGAGTCACATCGTATCGAGGACAACCAGATCCGAGCCTCCTCCATGCTGCGCCACGGCCTGGGCGCACAGCGCGGCCGGCTCAACATGCAGGTGGGTGTTGGGACGGGCCCATTTCCCAGCCAGGCGAGGGGCTCCACCACCCATACTCAGCCTCCTGCCGTCCCCCGAATAGGCTGGCACCAACGAGGATGACTACTATGATGGGGCGTGGTGTGCTGAGGATGATGCAAGGACTCAGTGGATTGAAGTGGACACCAGGAGGACCACCCAGTTCACAGGCGTCATCACCCAGGGCCGAGACTCCAGCATCCAGTATGCTCACAGGCTGTTGGCAGGGGCCAGTGGCTCGAGGCACAGTTCTGTGTCCCATTTGGGACATTACAGTGGGCCCTCGAGTTGGCTCAGGAAGGTCAGAAAGATCAGTGAGGGGCTGACGCTGCCCACCCCCAACTCCTCAGCCATGGCCAGTCAGGCCCTGTGTCCTGATGAGCACCCGAGGTCAGGGACAGACCACGTGCCCACAGCCACCCTGTGGGCATAGCACCCAGGTTCCTGACTGGGGCCATGCACCACAGCCAGGCCAGCTCTTCATTTCTTGGGCCCAGAAGAGGGGGCTGAGGTCGCCCGAGGGCGTGGGACAGGAGAGCAGAGCAGCCGTGCCATGACTGCCGTCTGTTCCACAGTGACGACTTTGTGACCACCTTCTTCGTGGGCTTCAGCAACGACAGCCAAACGTGGGTGATGTACACCAATGGCTATGAGGAAATGGTGGGTGCCTGAGCCCTCGGCTCTGCTCCCGCTGTCTGGGCTGGGGTGGGCTCTTGGAGGGGATGGGGGTGCCACACTGAGGCCTGCCTCCCCCCAGACCTTCCACGGGAACGTGGACAAGGACACACCTGTGCTGAGTGAGCTCCCGGAGCCAGTGGTGGCCCGTTTCATCCGCATCTACCCACTCACCTGGAATGGCAGCCTGTGCATGCGCCTGGAGGTGCTGGGGTGCCCCGTGTCCCGTGAGTGCAGAGGGGCTGGCAGGGGCTCAGAGGGAGGCTGTGGTGACCTGGGGCTGGGCTGGCAGGCAGCTGGCTCAGAGCCCTGCCTGTCCACCCTCTGCAGCCATCCATAGCTACTACACACAGAACGAGGTGGTGGCTACTGATGACCTGGACTTCCGGCACCACAGCTACAAGGACATGCGCCAGGTTGGGAACACTTGTCCCAGGGCTGGGCTGGGGACCTGTCCATGGGCCGACGGAGGAGCGTGTGCCTGGTGCTTCCAGCACGTGGCCCAGTTCCTACTGGTTCCAATGGCACAGGCTCCCTGAGAGGGACGTTGGCCATCCCTCACCTTAGGAAGGAGGCTAGTAGCTGGGGGCTCCCTGAGGGGGCAGGGGTTACCTGCAGGGGCCATGCCTTTCCCTCCCCATAAAGCAGACCAAGGCACTGGGAGAGGCGTGGGCAGTAGGGGTGAGTTGTGTGATTTGGGGTCCTCTGCCCCCTCTGCCCCGGCCAGCTCATGAAGGTGGTGAACGAGGAGTGCCCCACCATCACCCGCACGTACAGCCTGGGCAAGAGCTCGCGAGGGCTCAAGATCTATGCCATGGAGATCTCGGACAACCCTGGGGAGCACGAGCTGGGTGAGGGTCTGTGGGGCATTATCTGCCTTGTGCCCTGGAGGCACGGTCCGGGTGTTCTCAGGACAGGGCTCAGCTTCCCCTTCCCTGTGGGTTGGAGGCAAGGCCCTGGCACTGCAGCTGGGCCTGTGCTGCTAATGTGCAGAGATCACTATCTCCTGCCTGTTCCTGGAGCTCCTGGGGGATCAGGCCTGTCTTGCTGGGCCCTACGAGCCTCAGCTGTACCACAGCCCCCCAGTCTCCCAGCCCCTCGGGTATGAGGTGGGTCTGGGTCCTTCCTCAGACACTCTGGGCCTCAGGAGACTGAGTGATTGCTGATGCTCCTGCCCTTGCAGGGGAGCCGGAGTTCCGCTACACAGCTGGGATCCATGGCAACGAGGCGCTGGGCCGAGAGCTGCTGCTGCTGCTCATGCAGTACCTGTGCCGCGAGTACCGCGATGGCAACCCTCGCGTGCGCAGCCTGGTGCAAGACACGCGCATCCATCTGGTGCCTTCGCTGAACCCTGATGGCTATGAAGTGGCAGCGCAAATGGTGGGTGGGGGTTGGGGCTGGCCAGGGGCCACACAGGCAGTGCTGGGGGGGTTGTGGGGGCGGCCGATGCCCACTGAGCTGGATCCCTGCAGGGCTCCGAGTTTGGGAACTGGGCACTGGGACTGTGGACCGAGGAGGGCTTTGACATCTTTGAGGACTTTCCGGATCTCAACTCTGTGCTCTGGGGAGCTGAAGAGAGGAAATGGGTCCCCTACCGGGTCCCCAACAATAACCTGCCCATCCCTGAACACTACCTTTCCCCAGACTCTACGGTGAGGCCACAGTCTGGGTGATGTGGCAGGGCTGGGGGACAGAGGGGAGTGTGAGCGCGGGTGCGGGACTTTGTGGAGGATGATGTGGGGGACGTGGGCACTTGAGGCTGCAGCCCTGGCCTCACAGGCCTGGCCGCCCCAGGTGTCCACAGAGGTCAGGGCCATCATTGCCTGGATGGAGAAGAACCCCTTCGTGCTGGGAGCAAATCTGAACGGTGGTGAGCGGCTCGTGTCCTACCCCTACGACATGGCCCGCCCGCCGAGCGAGGAGCAGCTGCGGGCCGCAGCCCTGGCAGCCGCCCGGGGGGAGGAAGAGGATGAACTGTCTGAGGCCCAGGAGACCCCAGACCACGCCATCTTCCGCTGGCTGGCCATCTCCTTTGCCTCCACCCACCTCACCATGACTGAGCCATACCGGGGAGGCTGCCAGGCGCAGGACTACACCGGCGGCATGGGCATCGTCAATGGGGCCAAGTGGAACCCCCGGTCTGGGAGTGAGTCAGCCTGGGAGGGGCTGTGGGCGGGTGCCTGGCCTGAGGAGGGGGTGACTGCAGGTCTGTGTCTATCCCTGGCCAGCTATCAATGACTTCAGTTACCTGCACACCAACTGCCTGGAGCTCTCCATCTACCTGGGCTGTGACAAGTTCCCTCATGAGAGCGAGCTGGCCCGCGAGTGGGAGAACAACAAGGAAGCGCTGCTCACCTTCATGGAGCAGGTGGGGTGGCCTGGGTAGCACGGGGTGGGGGGGGGCGCTCCGGGACTCGACCCTGCTGGGGAGGGAGGAAGCAACAGCAGGCCACCGGGTGGGGGGTGGGGGGTCTCCACGAGGACCACCAGCTCTGTCTGCTTCCCCAGGTGCACCGCGGCATTAAGGGGGTGGTGACGGACGAGCAAGGCATCCCCATTGCCAATGCCACCATCTCCGTGAGTGGCATTAACCACGGTGTGAAGACAGGTACCTTGTGTGCACACCTTTACCCCGCCTTCCCAAGAGGACTCCACCAGAGAGGGTGGACAGCGGGTGGAGAGGTGTACTCAGAGAGGAAGGGCCAGGTCTGGGGAAGCCGGGAGTGGGCGAGGCCTAGACGCAGGACTCAGGGAGGGTGGGGCCTGGGGTGGTACCCACAGGGTGGGGTGGGGAACCTGGGGGCGGGGTTCAGAAAGGGAAGGCGGCGCCTAGGGCGGGACTCAGAGGGCAGGGTTTGGGGAACCTGAGGGTGGGACTCAGAAGAGGAGGGCGGGGCCTGGGGCAGGACTCAGGGCAGGGTTGGGGAAACCTGGGGGCGGGACTCGGAGGGTGAGGTCTGGGGAGCCTGGCTGCTGGACTCAGAGAGGGAGGGCTGGGTCGGGAGGTTGCGCTCTGGGGCAGCCAGTACGTCCTCCCTCTGCAGCAAGTGGTGGCGATTACTGGCGCATCTTGAATCCGGGTGAGTACCGCGTGACAGCCCATGCAGAGGGATACACCCCGAGCGCCAAGACCTGCAATGTGGACTATGACATTGGGGCCACCCAGTGCAACTTCATCCTGGCTCGCTCCAACTGGAAGCGCATCCGGGAGATCCTGGCCATGAACGGGAACCGGCCTATCCCACACATCGACCCATCGCGCCCCATGACCCCCCAGCAGCGGCGACTGCAGCAGAGGCGCCTACAGTACCGGCTGCGGCTGCGAGCACAGATGCGGCTGCGGCGCCTCAATGCCACCACCACTGCGAGCCCCCACACTGAGCCCCCCACGCTGCCCCCTGCCCCTGCCACCACCCTGAGCACTACCCTGGAGCCCTGGGGCCTTCTACCCACCACCACTGCTGGCTGGGAGGAGTCGGAGACCGAGACCTACACAGAGATAGTGACAGAGTTTGGGACTGAGCTGGAGCCTGAGCTGGAGCCGAGGTGGACCGAGGTAGAGGAGGAGGAAGAGGAGGAGGAGATAGAGGAGGAGGTGATGGCCACTGGCCAGGCATTCCCCTTCACAACAGTCGAGACCTACACAGTGAACTTCGGGGACTTCTGAGACCACAGTCCCAACCAAGGCCCTGGCTCAGCTCAAGCTACAGCAGCACTTCCAGAGCCCGCCACCCGCAGTCACATCACATACCAGCACACGGAATGCCCCCCCAGGTGCGGACCCTGCAAGAAGGGCCAGTCCTGCCCCTTTGAGGGGGCATAAATGCGATCGGGACCCAAGAGCCAGAGTCTGTCTGTGCAGAGGCTCCAGCTTTGCCTGCTGGTAAAGGACAGGTTGCTGCAGCACTGGGGTGGGGGCAGGTCGAGGGAGCCAAAGTCACTAGAATAAAACAAGCTCATGGCACTGACGTCTCACGTTCTGCCCAGCTCAGGGAGAGGGAAGGACAGGGAGACTGGCTAGCGCGTGCAGGGCTTCCAGTCACCGTGGGCTGCCCTGCAAGGGTCCAGTACCAAAAGTGCTCAGCTCACAGCTCGCAGCAGCAAGTGTTCAGGCTTTATTTACAGCGCTAACACGGCAGGAAATGAGCAGCCTGCAGCGGGGTCCCTCTGGCCAAGGCTGCCTTTCTGAGTCAGAGGCCCAGCCCCAGGCCTCCCAGGTCATCGTCCTCTGCCCCAAAGCCTGAGAAGCTGATGGGCTGACAGGCCAGGCTGCGCAGGTTCACGAGGCAGGCGGTCTGCGTGGCACTGAAGTCGGGGACAGTCACCAACAGTACTGTCTGGTCCTCAGGGCCTGCAAAGAAGCCACATAGGACCCCCTTAGGTTCTGGGTGAGGCCTGCCTCAAAGAGAAGCTACTAGAAGTAAACAGGAGTCTTCACTGGCACACAGTGGGACAATGACAGTAGAAGACCAGAGATCGGCCCGGACAGAAGCACACGGGCTTGGAGCCATTTCAGCCCCCGCCCAGATGGCCACTCAGCTTGGCTTCCCACAGTATAATGACGGCCACGCGGCCCCTGGGCTGTCCATCCAACAGGGGGGCCAGGGACTCCACAGTGTAGGTTTTCTTCTCTGTGAGCCTTGTCCCCAGGTGAGAGCAAATCCCACATGACAGCCCAGGCCTGGGGCCCCCCGAAAGACAAAAATTACCTTGGACGACTTTGGAGCCAAAGCTGGGGGTGTTGCCACAGAAGTAGACGTGGGGGCACTCCGGAAAGATGAACGGGTCAGTTTTGTAGAAGGGGTAGCAACCTGGAGGAGAAGGGCCTAGTGCTGAGCAGGGCTCCGCAGCCTGGGCACCAGGACGCCTGGGCCAGGCGGTCCCGCCGAGGGCAGCCTACACAGGATGTGGACCAGCACCCCTTCCTCTCCCACCAAGTGCCAGTAGCAGCACCCCCAGTTGTGACAACGAAAGTACCTCTGGACATTGCCACATGCCCCCAGGGGCAGGTCAGCTCACCCCTGCTACCTGTGCCCTTCGGGGTGGGCCCTGGGTGAGGGTGCTGCGCTCTGGCCAGCTAGACTTCCCACACGCTCCCATGGCCTTCAGCCCTGAGCATGCCTTGGCCACAGACAGAATCACGATTCCAGAGTAGCTTCCAGAACAGACATCAAGCTTCCGAGCTTCTTAGATCTCAGCAAGGTTGGCAAGCACAGCACATAGTGGGGACCTTGTAAACATGAGGGCCCTGCCAGGCCTCCCTGGTCCTTTGCTCCCACCCACGTGGCTGAGCCTGTTACCTAGGGTGTCAGGGGCTGTGGGGCTGATGTGACGGACCCGCAGGGTCCACTCCAGGATCTCCAGGTAATCTTCCATGCTGCTGTATCGGAAAATGTCACTCACATTCTGTCCTGATGTCCCTAGGAATCTGTAAGGCAAGGCTCAGCTGACCCCGGGTCAGGGAGGGGTAACGGGGAGGGGGAGGGAGGGGGTGCCTCTTTCAGCAAAAGGCTGAGTCAGACGGAAGCATGGCCGCACTGGCTACCTGACTCCATCGATGGTGGCCTGGTAGGGGTTGGTGACCAACTGGAGCGTGGAGTAGGCAGTGGCCAGCGGGAACATGCAGGGGTGGAGGGGCTGCTGGGGGAGTGTGTAGTTGGTGGGATCAAATTCGCCTGGCATCACGTCCACGGGCACCGAGGCCTGGAAGGCACAGGGCAGGGAGAGTTCGAAGGGCCCTGAGGGGGGCCACACCCTCTGCTCCCACCACTCTACCTCCCTTTCCCTGCTCTGTTGCCCAGTGGCAGCTTCAAGACTGCAATGTCCATCGGCCCCCAGCCCCCAGCCTGCTCACGCTCAGCTGCAGGAGGATCTCATCCAGCATCTTCACGGCCTCCACGCTGGCTGCCTGGGTTTTCTTGGTGAGGTACTTGGCCTGGAGTAGAAGCCCAGGACTGTCAGGCCCCGACTGGGGCTCAGATCAGAGGAACACTCAGAGCCCGCCTGGGTCCCGGGCTCAGAGGAGAGCAGAGCAAAGTCCCCGCAGCAGGAAGATGTAGGAGTTGTCCCACAGACCCTCATTCCCTTAGCTTCCTGCCACCCTCAGAGAGAGCCTGGGCAGGAGGATGAGACCCCAGTACAGAAGGCCCTAGAGTCACTGCAGGGCATGCGCTCTCCGTGGGGAAGGAGGGGCTTGCAGGTATGTCCCATGCTGGAGCTGAATGCAGCCAGGTGGGCTCCATACCTTATTGATAGAATCTCTGCTCTGGGTGTTGTGACTGAGGAGGTTGCCGGCGAGGATGACCCGGGAGACGTGGGCGGCGCTGCACTGCTCCCCTTCGTCCCCCAGCTGCCCCGTCACCACGTCCACCAGCAGCTGGGTGCCCAGCAGGCTCTCGCCTCCCCCTCCACCCAGGCCCAGACCGGACACCAGCAGCACAAACCTGTGGGAGAAGGTGGGGTCCGCCAACGTGCTGAGAAAGGAGGCAGCCTGTCGCAGACGGGGCCTCGCAGATTCCCTCCCCTGCGCTGTGATCAGGCCCTGGCCCCCGAGTGCGGCGCCTCACCTGTCTGTGTCGAGGGGGGGCATGGGCTTCTGTGGAGCAAGGTCAGCGAAGCAGTGGTCCTCCACTAGAAACTTCCCATCGTCTTGCACGGAGCCAAACACGGCCAGGACCGTCCCTGGGAAGCAGCAGTGTCAGCCCAAGGGGGCAACCCCAGGTGCTACCACCTTCGTCCTGTCACCCAAAAAGGCAAAACCAGCCAGTCTCCCTCAGCCACGCTGACGAATTCTCACCTAGGACTCCAGGACTAATTCCTAGTTCTAGGGTCGCTGCCTTTGGGAGACCGGTCTCCCTACCAGGTCTCACCCACTCTGATGGCTTCCTACTGCCTGAACCCTCACTGCCTCCCAAGGATAGTTCCCTTGACACACAGGCCACCCTGCTACTCCACCCTCCAGCCTCCCCACCCACACCACCCCCCCTCACCCCATCACTGGGCTCCCTACCTGTGACCAACTTTGATACATCAATGGTGCCTTTCAGTTTGATACGCTGTAATTCATCTTCCAAGACCAGCTCGTCATCCGGGTGGATGTATTTGCTTCGAGGAGGCTGCGGGAGCAGGTTGTGCTGGAATGCAGAGAGGGGAGGTAGTCTTGGCCAGAGCCAACCAAGGCCCCTGTGTTAGTGAGGTGACACTGCAGTCCCCACCCCTCTGGAGCCTGTTGTCTCCGGACCTGTTCCCCTGCCTGCCACGGGCAGGGGATCATCCCCAATCCCCTGGTTCTACAACGGGCGGCACATCAGGGAAGTGTTTTAGTGGGAGGCCGAGTCTGCCCCGCTGCTCCAACTCACCTCCTCACTGATCTCTCGCAGGATGGATGGCTGGAGCGGCATGGCCTTGAACAGAGTCCCCACCACACAGCACTTCTCCCCAGGCTGCAGCTCACACAGCTTCTTCACTCCGACTCCACTGCCTGGGGCGCGAGGGGCACAGACTCAGACACTAGGCAGCCACCACCCTGACAGAGCCCAGGCCTCCAGCATGGGGCGCGATATGGCCTCACTGCAGCGCTGCAGCCTGGGGCCCTGGCCTTTGCCAGGAGGGAGAGAACATCAAGTGCAGGGACCCCCTGTACCTCAGGGTGACAGTACAGGCTGAGTCAGTCACAGGAGACAAGGGACTTTGGGTACGGCTGGGCCCTGGATGCCAAGTGTCCTCATAAGAGGCAGAGAGAGACAGACACACAGAAAAGAGGGCAAGTGAAGAGGGGGCAGAGAGTGCAGTGATGTGGCCACAAGCCCCGGGATGCAGGGCAGCTACCAGAAACTGGAAGAGGCCAAGAAGGATCCTCCCCTGGGGCCTCTGGAAGAAACCAGCCCTGCTGACACCTGGACTTCAACTTCCAGCCTCCGGAACTGTGAGAGAATAAATGTCTGTTGTTTTGAGTCAGCCAGTTCATGGTGCTTTATTAGAGTGGCCACAGGAAGCTCACACCGAGTATTACTTCACTCACACCTGTAACACCGAGTCTTCGGATGACATACGCCAAGTCTCAGCATAGCCCTACCCTAAACATATTATGGTTTTCTTTAAGAGGTTGGATTCTTCCACTCTGCCCTCCACCTCCACCAAATGCTTCATCCCCTGAAAACAGAGATACCCAAAAGCAGACTTTATACCCTTCCGCCTGTTCTGTTCCCTGTGGAGTCAGGTGGCCCTGTTTACCCAGAGCGCCTGGGTGCCATCTTCTAGGCACCCTCCCAGGATCCTGGGGACAAACAAGGACACATGGGAAGGGTCTGGCACTCTCAAGAAGAAAGGTGTGATGAGAGTCAGGGCCAGCAGGAGGGAGGAACACAAGTCCCAAAAAAGTACAGACCCAGCTGGGCTATAAGGCAGTTGCCAGACCAGCCCCTCAGCCCAGCTGACTCCAGCACAGCCCAAACCCCTGCTGCCCGGAATAACCAAGAACATTCCTCAGATCTACGTCATCAGAGGGGAGTAACTCAAAACAAGAGAAGGAGGGGCAAGCACCAGATAGAAATGCCAGATACCAACAGAAACAACAGCCCTGGGTCCCCACCTATCTCACTTTACTCTGCTCCAGGTGGCCCTGCCTAAGCAATAGACTTGAAAATGTGCCAGAAGTGGATATTATCGCCTCCACTGAGGCACAGAGAGGTTAAGTAACGTGTCTAAGGTCACACAGTTGGGATCCAAATATGTGTCCCTGAGCACTACATGGAATGACACGTCCTTGTAACCGAGGGCAAGAAAGACACCCTTCTGCCCAGGCGATGTGCTGGCGTCAATGTCGAAACTGGACGCAAAGGCCAACATTGCCCCCACTGAGCCTACTATCTAGGACAGAGAGAGACAACAGACGATAAACAAGTATTAATAATTAGCTACCATGACAAGCGCTACAAACAAATGGGGAGCCGAGGGAGAAAAACAGAGGCCCTGGTCAGTCAAGGTGACCACAGGTGGCCTCTCGAAGGACATGACACTTCGCTTCAGCTGAGATCATAAGGAGCCACGGGAAGAGTGTGCCAGGCAAAGGGAAAATGCCATGGCAGGAAGGGCTTGGCACATTTAGGGAACAGGTGGGTACAGCAACCAATTCTGAGAGGCAGGCTGAGCCTTGGTGAGGATGTCCAGGCCACGGAGAGAAGCCACGTGTAGGTGTTCTGGGTGACAGCCAGCATCCACCGCCAGGCCAGTGAGCAAGTAACGCTGCTGCCCCACCACCAATCACCGCCTTCACTGTGGCAGCTGCCTGATTTCCTGAGCAGTCTGTGTGCAGAGGGAAATGGCTGTTGCCCGTCACCGGCGGGGGGGCGGGGTTTGTTAGCAGCTATAGCAACTGGAAGGGAAGTGTGCTATCAGAGGAGGGTGCTGCCGTAAAGAATCTCAAGAACTGGGCCTGAGTGGCAGGTAAGCCCTGATAGGACGCAAGGAAGGCGCCCCCGAGGACTTAAAGGAAAGTGAGGGAAGGGCTACTGGCAGCCAGAGGAAGGAGTCCCTTGTTATGTGGTAGAGAGGTGAACAGTGCTTCTGCCTGAGGTAAAGAAAACAGAAACACTCCTAATGAATTTGATGAGCTAGAAAGGAGATTTCTGGGCACTGTTCTCCTGGCTGCCTGTAATAACATGAGTGGATTCAGTGGCTTGGTGTGGGAAGGGATGGGCTTCCAAAGCTCCCCGGGTGGTTCAGTGTGCAACCAGAGCTGAGACCCATTAAGCCTGGTGCCCGGGATAATAAAAATGAATAAGACGCGGTCTCACCTACAAAGACCTGTTTAAAATCTTAACAGGGGATGAATTTGAAACTACATGGAAAGCTTCTCTCGTGCAAATGATGAGAATGGGGTAATGCAGCATCACTCAATAGTCAAAGATGGTAGATGGGGGGGCCCCGCTTCACCACAAGAACAACCCAACTGCGGGAGAGATCACCAAGGAAGAAATGGGAAAACGAAAAAGGGCTGTGTTCCTTAGGCTACTTTATTAGGAAAGACACTGAGCCCAAGGGACAGAGAATTTCATGGCCACCAAATACAGAGGGCCCAGAGGAGGGGCAAACAGACATCAGTAAACAGAGGGGGATCCCTCAAGACCAGGGGGTGCATCTTCGCCAACTTTGGCTCTTGGTGCCAGCCTGCCATGCTGAGAGGCTCTCTAGTTACCGTGTGGGCAAATGGTTGAATAATTTGCACTGAAGGTAGGAAAAACATTTTCCTCTGCCAATAAAATAATCACTGTCACTGCCAGAACAAAGCCCTTACCTTGGACCAGCCTCTGAACTAAACCTAACTTTAAACCCACAAATAATTTAATCCTTGAAACCGAAGGAAAAAGAAGTTAATTTTCCCGAGGTAATGGGAAGTAGGATAAATCAGAGAAATGTTCCAGTTCTCGCACATTTCTAAGTTCTGGGCTGGTGGGGCAGAAGCACCTCCCCAAACTCTCACTTACCCCAGTGCTGCTGGGCCCGGTTCACCAGGAAAGGTCTCATTTGGATGAGGCGGGTGGCGTAAATGTGGGCATACTGCCGGCTAAAGCTGCGCTCCCCCAGCCGGAAAGGTTGCGAGGAGTTGGTGTAGGTTGCCACAGGCACCCGAGCAAAGGTGGCATTGTTGGCAGATGGCGGAGACAGCAGAGTGTGGGCCCTCTGGGCAGCCTGCTCGGAAAACATGGTCGTGCTCCTGGCTTGCTTTGTCCGGACAGCTTCGCCAAGGCCAAGAAGGGTCACTGTGAGAACACAAAGGCATTCCTGACCCCAGCCCATCCCCAAAGCAGCAGCTCTCCTGGTGTCTCAGCTGAGCTGACTGCACTGCACCCAAAGGGCACCAGGAAAGAAGGGGAAAGCTGTAGTCAACACCAAATATCACGTCCACCTGGAAATTTATTGTGGCTGGATACCATGTCTTACTCTGTAACCTTTATCCAAAAAGAGAAAAGGAAAGCTAGGAGCCTTTGTCCTACTTGGAGCTTTCTCTGAACCCCACACTCAGGCGTCTACTGCCTGCTCTATCTTGACAACTACCAGTGTCTCAAGTTCAGCACGCCCCAAATGGAATTCCTGATCTGTCTCCATCTAGCTCTCCAGCACGTGCCCATTTCCGGGCATGAGGCCTGCCTTATTAAAAAAGCCTACCATGTAACAACAATATGCCTATTACTAAATAATAAAAATAAAACTAACTAAAAACATAAATCAGTCACTGCTCTGCTCAAAACTCTCCAAAGTTTCATTTCACTGAATAAAGCTCCTCTCCCATGTGCCTACAGAGCTCACTTGCTCATCTCCTTCAAGTCCTTACTAATTTACTCACCTTCACCCCTGACCATCTGATTTACAACTGCAGCCCTCCCTGGTACTTCTGCTTCTCCAATTGTATTTCTGTTTACAGTATTTATCTTCTAATAAACTATATATTTTAAATTTTGTTGTCTGCCTCCACCGACCAGACCCTAAGTTCCAGGAGGGCAGAGATTTTTGTCTTATTCCTGGAGGTATTGCCAGCATCTGGAACTGTACTGTCCTACATGTAGCCACTAGCCGCCTGGGGCTACCGAGTACTGGAGATATGGCGAGTCCAGCTGCTACGTACGGGTAGGTCACACACTAGATTCCGCAGAGTAGTACGTTGGGATATATTTATTGGGTTACCAAACTTGATTTCTGCTGTTTCTTTTTACTTTTTTAGTACACCTATTAGCAAGTTTAAAATTCCGTAGTTGGCTTGTATTCTATCGCCACTGGACAGCACTGGCCTAGGACACAGGCTGTGCACACGTGTCGAAAGAGTGAATGTGAATGAGCTTTCAGCCCAAACCTGCTTGATGGCGGCAGCAGCCAGGCCGCGCTGTCCGGGACGGGACCGCGGCCGGCCCTGCAGCTCGGCTCCACGCGGCAGCTGAGGAACGCCCGCCGAGACACAAGCCCACGGTCCCAGGAGCCCGGCTCCGCGGCCTGAATCTGCAGTCCCCAGCGGACCCCGCTCCACCGGACCCCACTCACCTCGCGGCGCGCTGCATCCCGCCAATCCCCGCGCGCCAGCCCCGCCCCTCGCCGCATCCCGCCAATCCCTGCGCGCCCTCCCCTGCACCCCGCTAATCCCTGCATGCCTGCCCCGCCCATCGCCGCATCTCGCCAATCGCCGCCCTCCCCGCCCATCCATCAACACACGGAGCATCCCGCCAACCACTGTGCGCCCCGCCCCCGGACACCGCCGGCGAGCGCAGAGCCACGCCCCCGATTTCCCAGGCAACGCGGGGGTGGGGCCGGCGCCGATGTTCTTGGGTTGGCTACAGCTTGTGCTGTGGCTCCGGGTGCAACTGTGCTGACCGCGTCGCCCCTCCTGGTGTCCTCAGCATCCCGGCTTTCCCGGCAGAGCTGCTTCCCTGAAGTGATGGCGACACGCAGGGAGGATCCCGACAGAAGGAAGGAGGTCCAAGGGCACAACCCCCGGGCGGGGAAGCAATTACTCTGCCGAAGGGAAAGCGCGGGAACTCAAGGTTCTTCCAGTACGCTCTCGTCCTGCCAGCATCTGCGCCCGAAAACGGACACTGTTTCAGGGTCCTCCCTACCATGCCCACAGCTGCGCATCCCGACACTCCCCAGTCTCCGGTGTCGTCGTAGCCCCGTTATTCGTTCTCTTTCTTACCCACCACGTCTCCCTTGGCGCCGTCCCTCACTTTGAGAATGCTCTGTTTTGCATCTCCACTGATTCCTAGAACTCACCGAACCCAAGGTTCCCTCCCTGAGAAGCCTTCTTGGCCACGCCCACCGGGCTGATTGTCTCCGGCTCCCCTCAGCGCCTACTGTTCCGCTCCGTCACTGGGCAAGTTTCCTAATTCCAGGTCTTGTCTCCACAACGAGTGGATATAAACACTCGTTAATTATTATTATTTGATATAATTTAAAATTTAATATTTTGATTATTAAAAGCCCTTGCAGTGGACTTGGCACTGTTCGGAGGTCCTGACACGTTAATTCATCTACTCCTCACATAACCTTTTCAAGCATGAACAATTATTCTCCCATTTTACAGGGGAGGAAACTGAGGCAGAGAAGTCATATAGTGAGTAATAGCTGGGATTAACACAAAGGCAGCTGGACTCTTACCAGTAACATTGTACTGCCCTGTGCCTTCACCCATATAACATTGTACATGTATTGGGCAAACATAATTTTACTTCTTCCTTTTCAATGTAGACAGCTTTTATTTCTTTTTCTTGCCTAATTAATATGGCGAGAACTCCCAAAACTATTTTGAATAGAAGTGATGAAAGTGGACATCTTTGTCTTGTTTCTGATCTTAAAGGAAAAGCTTTCAGTCTTTCAGCATTGAGTATGATGTTAGCTGTGAATTTTGGGTTTTTCATATATGGACTTTATTATTTGAGGTAGTTTCCTTCTATTCCTAGTTTGTTGAGTTTTGGTGTTTTTTTTTATTATCATGAAAGAGCATTGAATTTTGTCAAATACTTTTTTGGTATCAATTGAGATGATCGCCTTTTTTTTGTCTTCTATTCATGTGATTGATTATATTTATTGATTTTGTTATATTGAATCATTCTAGCATTTCAGGAACAAATCCCACTTGGTGGATTTACAAACCACTTGGTGGGGTTACAAACCAAAGTTACAGTAATACTAGCTTTTATAATTGCCCCTGTATTTTCCTTTACCAGAGATCTTTATTTCTTTATTCAGCTTTGAGTTACTGTTTAGTGTCCTTTCATTTCAACTTGAAAGAATCCCTTTAGCATTTCTCGCAGGGCAGGTCTAGTGGTAATGAACTCTCCCAGCTTTTGTTTATCTGGGAATGTCTTCATTTTCTACTCATTTTTAAAGGACAGTTTTGTCAGATATAGGATTCTCAGTTGACTTTTTTTTTCTTTCAGCACTTTGAACATGTCAACTCACTGCCTCTTGGCCTCCAGCGTTTCTGATGGGAAATCTGATCATCTTTTTTTTTTTTTTGAGAAAGTTAATGGTTATCAGAATTTCTATACATCATCACAATCAAAACAGTAAAATAAACCAAAGAACAAACCTTAACACCCCCAAAACATAATAAATTGCAATTTCTAGTGAAACATTTATGCCTATGCTATATTCATTTTTTCCTAACAAATGCCCTTCGGAAATCCTATGCTATTTTGATTGCTTATTTTCCACTTTATAGTCTTTGTTTTGAATATAGGTTACAAATAATCTTTTGTGTCATTTCCTCAGTCTTTTTTTGTTTTTGTTTTTTTTTTTGAGACAGGGACTTGCTCTTTTGTCTAGACTAGAATGCAGTGCATCAATCGTAGCTCACTGCAACTTCAAATGCCTGGGATCAAGTGATCCTCCTGCCTCAGCCTCCCAGATAGCTGGGACTTACAGGCACACCACCATGGCCATCTAATTTTTAAAATTTTTTTGTAGAGATGGGGTCTCGCTATGTTGCTCAGGCTGGTGTCAAACTTCTGGCCTCAAATGATCCATGTGCCTCAGCCTCCCAAAGTGCTAGGATTGTAGGTGTTAAACACTGTGCCTGGCCTCGTCAGTCTTAATACCTTAGTCACCTGTTTTTACCTTGGCTATATTTTTATCATTTAGAGTAGGATATACTTATTAAGCCAGTTATACTCCAGTAAACTTGTGAATGAAAAAATGTTAGAGAATTAAGAACAAGTAATGGAGTCATTGTTTCACTGATTCTTATCCAATGTCAGGAAAATCATATCGCTAAAACAGCAATTCTGCCTGAAAAATTCTTTCCATGACTAAACAGAAACAGCAAGAAAAGTGAATTTATGGGAAGCCTATGATACTTTACTAGACATTGTGTGCTTTTAATAGTTCAACACTGGTAATATTTGATAATCAAGAGTAAATAGGCTAACATTTAAAAATGTATACTTTAATAAGTATAAAGTATATAAACAATTAGGTAAGCTTGTGGAGAAGCTGACCAAGATACATAAATTAGGAGATACAAGTGTCCATCTAAATTTTCTATATCTCTTTTTATACAGAATATTTATTAAAGTTGCTTAATATACAATTTCTCATTTTTCATTTTAGAAGTCATTTATTGTAAAGATAATTCTTTTTTCTGATGACAAACAGCAGCCACAGCGATTCTCTGGACCTCCACATTGGATAAATTCAATTTCTTCTTGAGACACAAGTTTCCTTCTGTATTTCTGACGCAATGTTTTTATTATTTCTGCAGTGTCTGGTGGACCCGTCAGCAAATCTGGTGATTTACTTCCCTTAGAATGCTGGGAAATTGCAAAAGAGTGAGATGGTAACCCTGCTGATCTCAAAGCTTCTGATACATTGGGTTTAGGATTGTCTCTTCTGTCAGGAAATCTTATTAATGGAGTGTGTGGCTTGACTACCTGGACAACGCTGCTGGCAGACGCTGCCCATCATGACCACCCCCAGATCATCTTTTTGAGGATCCCCAGTTGTGACGAGTCACTTCTCCCATAGCTTTCAAGATTGTCTCCTTGTCTTTGGCTTTCAGCAATTTGGTTATAATATCTCGGGGTGGGTATCTTCAAGTTTATCCTTCTTGGAATTTATTGAGCTTTTTGGATATTTATATTCATGTTATTCAGCAAATTTGGGGAATTTCCAGCTATTATTTCTTCAAATAATCTCCCTGTACATTTACTCTCTTTTCTCTCTGGGACTCCCACAGTGGCTGTGTTGGTCTGCTTGATGACGTCCCCACAAGTCCCTTAGGCTCTGTTCATTTTTCGTCCATCTTTTTTCTTTCTGTTCCACAGATTTGATAATTTCAATGTCCAATCTTCAAGTTTGCTGATTCTTTCTTCTCCCTGCTTAAATCTGCCTTCAAATCCCTCTAGTGAATTTTTTCATTTTAGTTATTGTATTTTTCAGTTCCAGAATTTCTTTTTTGCTACCTAAAACAATAAAAAACTAAGAAAGTTTTCTATCTCTTTATTGATAATCCCATTTGTTCATATATCATTTGTCTAGGCTAAGTGTGGTGGCTTACACCAGCAATCCCAGCACTTTGGGAGGCTGAGCAGGGAGGGGGAGGATTTCTTGAGTCCAGTAGTTTGAGACCAACCTAGGCAACATAGCAAGACCCTGTCTCTACCAAAAAAAAAAAAAAAGCTTTGTCTAGTAAGTCAGCTATCCAGTCTTTTTCTGGCATGGTTTCTGCTGATTTATTTTTTTTCCTTTGAATATGTCATCTTTTCCTATTTCTTTGTATGCCTTGTGATTTTTTTTGTTGAAAACTGGACATTTGAATCTTACAATGTGGAAATTCTGGAAATCATGCTCTCCTTTTCTCCAAGTTGCTGTTTTTTTCTTTTTAAAATTGTTGTTGGCTGTCTCTATGCTGGGGATTAGCCTGAGGTGAAAGCTTAATGTCTCAGGTCTTTTCCGTGCCTGCGTCCTTCCTTGGGCATGTGCAGTGACTTCCTAAATTTCCCTGTGTATGCAGTTGCTTTTAAGTGTCCTAATCCTGAAATGTCTGGCTCCCAAAAGGGGAAAAAAGGAACAGCGAAGGACAAAAGAAAAAACCCGAAACAAGCGCTGGCCCTTTAAATCCTCTAGAAGCCACTTTAGTTGGAGGAGTTTGAAATGGTGGTGATGGAGGTTGCGTCAACCCCTGCCCACTTCTGTGTTGCACTTCCATGATTAGAGGTAGCAATCAAAGACCGGGGCGCAGTGGCTCATGCCTGTAATCCTAGCACTCAGGGAAGCCGAGGAGGGAGGATTGCTTGAACTCAGGAGTTCGAGACCAGCCTGAGCAAGAGCGAGACCCCATCTCTACTACAAATGGAAAGAAATTAGCCAAACAACTAAAACTAGAAAAAATTAGCTGGACACGGTGGTGCATGTCTGTAGTCCCAGGTACCCGGGAGGCTGAGGCAGGAGGATAGCTTGAGCCCAGGAGTTTGAGGTTGCTGTGAGCTAGGCTGACGCCACAGCACTGTAGCCTGGGCAACACAGTGAGACTTGTCTCAAAAAAAAAAAAAAAAAAGAAGTAGCAATCAGCGATGGGAACTTAGTCCCTGAGTTGTGGAGGACCAGG